TGGAGGCATTTCATATGAACGTGTTTGTATAACGAAAACCTTGAAGGACACAGTTTTTTCTAATGTCCTGCTGCATGGTGTTCTGCCTCTATGCAGTTAAATAAAGCTGCCATTCAGTGCCACAGCAACCTCTGACTGTATTCAAACGCAGAAGGCAATCAGTGAGACTGAAACTCACAAAAAAAGGTAGAGAACACATTCATCAGGAGAAAATCAGCAGCTCAAGGATCATTGAAATAAAACACACAGAGCTCCAGAGTGCGCACGCACACACACACACACACACACACACACACACACACACACACACACACACACACACACACACACACACACACACACACACACACACACACACACACACACACACACACACACACACACACACACACACACACACACACACACACACACACACACACACACACACACACACAGTAATTTTTCTCTGTGTTTGTACAGTTTCTGATTCTTCTTCCATCTCTTCTCCTCTACCTTTCCTACACTCCACATGACGGCCATTCTATTGTTACTGTACCACCAGAGTGGCCGAGGCATTACCCAAGTTGTTGTGTTTTTAATCGCAGCAGTTCATATCAATTTAAACTTTTAAGTTGCAGCATTCACTACATTATCAGCATTTGAGTTTCCTATCCTGACCCCCAATTTCCACAGACTCCGTTCGCACCTTGGTACGTTGGCCCCGCCCACTAATCTACTGTTCGATGCTACTCTAGTCCATGGTCCTGTTTCCACGGCGAGCGCCACGATCCGTCTCTGGAGCGTGCTAGCTGCACCACTACGCTCTGCTCCGTTTCAAATACGCTGCGAGTCTCTTCGAGTACACTGCAAGCACGCGTCAAGCTGGACAGAATAGAACAAACCGGACAGGAAGTCAGACAAGGAAACGCACAGAGCCTCCGGTCAATTTCAAAATAAAATACATGACGCCAATATAGGCACCGAATGAACAACACATCATCCTCAGAAAGACAAAGCAACATGCTTGAACATTTTTCTCTTTATTCCCATGTGATCTTGAAGTTCTCATGTGATCTTGAAGTTCCCATGTGATCTTGAAGTTCTCATGTGATCTTGAAGTTCTCTTGTGATCTTGTAGTTCTCCTGAGATGTGTGTACAGCTGATGATGGCTGTGCTCACACTCCAGAAACTGACCCAGCAGGGCAGGAAGCGCACCATCCGACGGAGCAAAGCCGTGGCGCTGACAGAACAAATGGACTATGTGGACATTGGCAGTGTGATTGAGTCTGAAAACGTCCAAAAAAGTCTGATGCCGGTTCTGAGACTTAGTACTAGGGCCCGACCGATTAATCAACCAAACGATGATATCGGCTGATTTGATCACATCCAGTGAGGATCAGATCGTCCCTTTCTCCCCAATATCAATATTGGCCTCAAAAATTCCATATCGTTCGGGCCCAGCTCAGCACAGCTCCGTGATTTTACGCAGTCCACAAGTGTTAAGAAACTCTACTCCAGGAATAAACAGTGAAGAGTTGACTTAGAGCTTTCACACCAGCATGGACGCCAACAACCTTGAAGCTCTGAGTCAGCTATTTCACCTGATAGCCATTGTTTCACGTGAAATCCAAGATGGAGGAGCCAAAACAATGAAAAGCTATCACTTACATGCTGTGCTGCATGTTTAGTCTCACCATGATGCCGGCTTTAACACTTTGAGAGTCTTTGCTGCATGTGTGTCTGAGGAAATACCTCGCTAACAACCTGCTTCATGTGAAGTCAATCTTCTATCAGCCTCTCATCTCTTTGCTCTGAGCTCTGCCTCATAGTGTCACCAAGACCAGGCTCACACACTTTCTCTCTCTGTTCAGCTCCACACCCCACTTCATGCTCAGGTTACTCAATCTTAAACCATCATTCAAATCAGAAGCTTTTCACAGAATATTGCGTCACATTACTTACAGTAGTATTCAAGTTCAGGTCAACGCTGAAGGGCATGATGTCAGCGCGGTTGCAAAACTTTTCTTCAAGGTTTGTTGTTTTGTGGCACGGTTAGTTAGAATTCTGCCATCATTTGTGCCCTGATTGTCGGGGGAGGCCTGCCTTGGGACTAAATCTGGCGGGGAGTAAATAGCTGCATTGTTGGCTGTAGCCTCTGGAGTGACGTCAGTGAGTCTTATCAGTGTTCTCTAACTTCACCTCCGAGAGGGGCCTGAAAGCAGACCCCGCCCAAAGCAGGGCGTCCGGGATCATCGCCTGATAGATATAATGTAGAACTTAACCCCGCTTGTACTTAACTCTTCTTCTCCTCTTTTGGCTCGTGATTGTGTGGCTCGGAGCTTCTCTCCCTGCAAACACTGATCGATCACAGTTTGTTTTTGGATATTTTTTTTGTTGATTTTTGCCTTTATAAGGCCGCAGCGACGTGGACTATAGCCTCCATACATGGGGCACGCGTCATAATCGCTAAGTTATCGGCGCCCTAATACTGATCAAAGTTTGAGTTATTAACAGCACAGGAAGAAAGTATCATCTCACCTCGGAATCAACATGTTAGATTTAGTGATAATTTACAGATAATACACTGTATTGGTTTTAAATATTATCTTAAAGGCTTTATATGCGATTTTTTGATCCAGCAGATGTCGCCCTTGAGCACCAGCATGAAACCAAAACAACTTGCGGTGCATTGTGGGTTATGCTAATGCTAGCGATCTTTATTATGCTCGTATCTTCACACTGCATGTAAATTTACCTGAAATGAGCGAGATCTAGAAACACAGTTAAGCAGTGAGTACAGTATGTTATTCTTCTTTTCTCTAGTCCCTCAATTAATCAACTTTTATTCGCGAGGGGAGGAGTCAGCCGGCTGTCCGGGCGATGTAAACAAAGTGAAGATAGGACTCGAAAAACTCATTAACTCAAAAAAAGTCATTACTCAGTTATTTTCAGAGGATATACTTGATTTATATCATATGTAAGTGTGAAAAATTACATATAAAGCCTTTAAATGCAGCGATATTACATTTTTGACTGAATGCTTTACATTGGCATACACTGGGGGCGCTGATAGCCTAGTGGTTAGTTTACGCAGATCGTGTACAGAGGCTATATTTCCACAATTTCCCAGTTTGGGATCAATAAAGTAATTTCTATTCTATAGTCCTCAAACTGGGCAGCCTCGGGTTCAAGTCCAACCTTTGGCTCCTTTCCCCACCCTCTCTCTCTCTCTCTCTCTCCTGGTTTCCATCCATCGACTGTCCCGTTTAAATAAAGGCATACACAGCTGCATGGTACTTAGTGACATAAACTTATAAAACTACAATTTAAAAGTGAAAATGCCGCGAGCATTCCTGGTCAGTGATTGGATTTCTGGAGATGTCCTAATACATGCAGGGACATTCAAAGGACAGCAGCCTCTGGAGAAATGTCAGACTAACGTGCATTCAAAAAATAAAAAAATCCCTCAAAATCATACAAAGCCAAGACTAAAGCTGTGTGCTCACCACACAAGGTCAACCCCGTACGCGCACACGCACACACACAGGCACTAACAAAGCTGCAGGTAACATTGTCATGCTGACATAAGGAGCTCTGACTATCTCTCTATCTCTCTCTCTCTACTGACACAGATTGAGCTGGAAATTACAAATCCATGTCCTTCAGCCTGTTGTTAATGAAGAGCAGAGGGTTCCTCCTGTGAGGTAAACCCACCTGAGGATGTGTAAGGGCCGATGATTTCTGAACACAGACATGCACGCTTAACTCCACAGTCACAAAATCCACGATCACAGCTAAGAAAAGGATGTCTGAGTTAGACGTGATGTAACGTGACACACATTGCTCATCGTGAGGAGTGTAACCGTCTCGTAATCTTCTTTTACATCTACCAGCTGTGTGTTATTGTCGACTTTAGGCTCACCTATTTAATATTTAAGCTTAAAAATGACCTGTTGGGACACAGGCGATGTGCAGAAACTTAGCAAGATCCATCCACAGCTGATGTGTTTTCATGAATCAGCTCAAGTTTGAGGATGAAACAAGGTAAACCCTTCAAACAGCAGGTCATGACTTCTGCCTCTGAGCCGAAGATTTACCATGTAGTCATTGTGAATATGGCACAAAAAGCTGACTCAAGCGAAGTCTCCAAAGTTTCCCATCCTCTTTTAAATGAAACCCACAACTCTGGCACTGTTTACTGGTATCTAGTTGACTTTTGGTTTCGTTGATCTGGTTCTAGAGGACATATGGGGGTCAGTCTGTGTCAGAATAAGTCTAGGTTGAGCTTAAGACAATCAAATGAATCCCTCTGACTTGACTTTGAATCACAGGCAGGGACTGATCACATGAAAGCTTACAGAAGACATAATATGGAGGTGCAGTGTTTTCAATTATGACATTAAAACTACAGGCGTGTGCACATTTACAGGTATAAGGACAACAATGACCACTGTCCCTGTATGTTCACCTGTACAGTATGCAGAGGCAGCCTGTACAGCACAGTCACTGAGGAATGCTACACTCTGTACTCGTTTGGAGGGAGCAACGAGCACTGAACAAACCCGGTTTACAAACCTAACAAGTTAGTTGTATCTCTGATAGCAGGTGTAGTCCACGCACGACAAGCCATGTTTGAGTCCTGAACACATCAACAGGGTCTGCAGGTAAATTCGGCTTCAAAATATTCCCGGGAACAGAAGTGGACTTTCATACTTTTGCTAATTAATTAAAACTGTAGGCTAGTCGAAGCCGACTTCTATCAATTAAGTAGGACTACACATTGTACCATGACAGGTCTTCTACTGAGGCCTTAATGATGAACTAGTTTGTTGTAAAGATGAAATAACTTGGGGGTGGGGGGCGGGGGTTGACATTTAAAGGACGGCCAAAGCAATGCGACATTAAATTGGCAGAAAGATGAGTGGACTTTGGTGTGACGTCCTCACCCTGCAAATGAAGAAGGACGCAGCTGAAATCAATCCCATGAGAAAAGAGAAGGACACACTGAGGGGCTTACCTTGAAGTTTGCTCTCCGCTGGGAGGTCGTTGAAAGAATGAACCAGCCGGGAAAAACAGCTGAAAAGTTAATAAATCTGTCAGGTCTTCACTACGCAGAGTAGTTTCACATGTAGTAGGTTCTCAATGTAATAAAAAAAAAAAAAAAAAAAAAAAAAAAAAGTCTACGTGACGTTGGAAAAAACCGAAATCTCCACAGCCGCGGTCGGATGTCTCCCTACGCAGTCCACAGTCCCTCGCAGGTGGACATGAGCGCTGCTCTCTCTTCCTGTTTGTTTCAGAAGGTGAACCACAGCCGCTTGCTTTTTCCTCCGCCACCTCTCCCTCCGCCAAGTCAAGTCCGAGACAGTGACGCGAAAGTTGAACTTCCGCTCAGCGTGTTTCAAAATAAAACACCCTCTTAGTGAGTAGTGACAGATTTAGGCATGACATGAGCGACGAGCAGAGGCGCTGCTTGTCAACAGGAAAGGCAGGCAGCTGCTTGGGGCCTCAGGTCAGCAGAGTGCACATTTAAAATCGTGAGGAGAAAAGGTAAATAGAGACAGTTATGTTGTGGCTAAAGATAAACCCTGAACAAATAAATACACCCAACAATACCAGATGGCTACTCTTGAAATAGTTCTTTGGAGGGCAGTCCTTCAACACTTGAACATTTGAACACATCATGGTATCGAGGTCAGAATTAAAAGTTCTTATCTTATGATGACAAATAGGGCTGGGCGATATGGACTAAAACAATTGTATCTCGATATTCATAGCTGAATGGCGATACATGATGTAAGCTCTATCTTGTATGTTTTTGAGCCAAATTCCAAATGTCACACAGGCACTTTTATTAAGAGCCAGCTGCACAATGTCGACATGTGCATAAGCGAGGTGATCTGGCACCACTACCACCCGACGTCCCTGACACCACCATCGGACTGTGTCGTCCCCACAATCACCTCCTGACGCCCAGCTATAAAAAAACGGCTGTGCATTTTGTTCTAGGTAGTTTTTGAGTTTTGCTCGGAAGATGAGCGGCAGTCAGAGAGCAGAACTGGCAGCTCTAGAGAATAAACTTATAACATTATTTAAAGCAACATACACTACATTGAATTAAAGGAGATTGTTTACCCTATCTCCTTTGAACATATTGATTTATCTTAAAAACCCAATACATTTTCCAGCCCACATTCAGCATACAAATCCCAAATTGTGCCTGATTTGTCTCGCTGACTGAGCACTGTGTCTCCTTTTTAACGTCTTAACTAAGTGCCAATCAGATTACATTCCTATCTGATGGTGGTCTTATATCTGTTGAACAGAAAGCGTCTGAGGAAGCTCTAAAGGGTTTGATCATAACATTGAAACAGAACTGAACAGGTTGTCAACATTTCCGATACTTTTAAATAGCCTACTTCTCTTCAGAGGCTTTTATTTTGAAAAACCGGATCCTCTGGCGTGTGTCAGCAGCAGCAGCAGTTTTGTGCATTTCTCAGTCTGAGGCATCGAGGGCAGTCGGCTTTCTTTTTACAACTTCATAACACCGGCACATAACTTTTGGGCAGTGATTGAAACCGGAAACGCAAAGTTTTTTTTAACCTCTGCTTTCCACGACTCCTTTCCACGGCGCGTGTCAGGCAACCTCCAAATTTGAAACACATCGAGATATTAAACATTGGCCAATAGCATGTCTCTGTGTAAGTTATTAAGCTTTATTGTAGGTATTTACCACTCAAGTAAGCCACGACAAATCCTCATTCATGAGTTATTTCTTTAATATTAGGATATTTAAATACGTGCGACTCTGCGAAGGCCAAAAGTAGGAAATATGAGCTTTGCTGCCCCCTGGTGGTCAAAGCGGTTCATACAACTCTGAGACTTTTAAGTAGAAGAGATTCAATAAAAAAAATAGGTCATATTATTTTATAGAATTGATTGATTGAAGTCTTTGTTTCGAAAAAAGGAGTGGGGAAAAGTGTGAATCTATTTAACCCCTACCCCTCTCTCCATTCATCTTGAGTTAACAATTATTAATAAGTAAATAACAGACTTTCTTAGAATCAGTTGAAGCTATTGCCAGACTGTATAATAGAGCTCATAAAATGAATGGACCCCCTCCCCCCACCACACACACACACACACACACACACACACACACACACACACACACACACACACACACACACACACACGCTCATCACTGTACTGAACTTTCTCGCTTTTGACTTTTCAGAATTATAAAAATATTTACTCCATGAAGTTTTATCAGATCTACAACAACAAGTCGTCTCCAGCATTTAGTGCTCTGTACCAAGGTCCAACACGAGTCGGGAACGCAGCCCTAGATCCCTCTTGCATTGATTAATCCTAGTACCGGCTTACAAAAACAGCTGAGGTCAGAGGTCGTTCTTTCATACAGACACTAAAATGTGGAATGATGTCCCACATTATGTCAGGACAACAACCTCAGTGGTGTAGAAACACCACCTGATGAATGGACAAACTCTGATTGAACTCATCTATGTTGATTTGATTTTGTTCGGGGTGGCCCATCTGGGGTGCTGACTTATGCAGGGGTGGCTTAAAGTTTGTGGGCACACTCACACAAATTAATTTCATTATTCTTTCTATCCCCCCTAATATGTTCTTATAAGTAATAGAATTTGACAACATGTAAATTTAATGCTCTTCAGCTCCTCCACAGATGGAGGTCGGCGCTCTCAGATAAGAACATTATAATATGATGTTTTTAGTGGACTCATTCATAGACAGAATCCAAAGAAGATACTGGAGCACATGATTCACTGAAGGCAAATTTAGTGAGGTGCAGAGGACAGAATTAATGTTTCAACATGTACTGCGTCTTCCTCAGAGTCATCAGTGTAAAGATGGATGAGCAAAAATCACAACTTAAAAGTATTTAGACAATCACATGCAAACTCTTGTGCACGGTCTAACTTTCAAAAGTACTTTTTTTAATGTCAGGTACGTCCTTTGCAAGTTAGACAGTGTTTTCATGACATTTTCATGGACAGAGAGAAGTATTTATTTACAAGTTAAAGTAACCACATCATTAAAACTTAAAGAAAACTACCAGCAGCCTGTTGAAAACTTGAAGAAGTCCCGCCTCTGATAAGGCAAATATATTATCATAGATTTGGATTATGGGGGGCCAATCAGATTCCAAGAGGGGGGTCCGTGCTACCCCTATCTGGACACGCCCCTAGACTTAAGGTAGACTGACCCATGGATAGCTGAAACAACCCCAAGACATGTCTGTGGTTTCATTATATTTTCTGATCTAATTTCTTTACACGTTAGGCTACATTTCAGTTTGATGAAGACATCAAAAAAATGTGTTTATTTTTTTATTTGAATACAATTAAAAAGTCCGTCCAATGGCGCAGCACGTATTGAACTCTGACCTTAAAAGACTTCCTGTTTGTCAGAGCGCAATTTTTCAATTTTCGCTAATTTGTTTGGCACATTTGTTTGTTTGTTATCAGTAACAACAGTTTCCATGTGAAGACACTCGATCATAAACTGTAAACAAAGTGATGATGAACCTGTGAGGCTCATACAGGTGATGTTTAATGGACTTGATAAAGATCTAGATAGCCGGAGGATAGGTACGGGGAAGAACACCTGCCCTGCGTCTTTTACTGAGGATTCTGGGATTGTCGATGATACCAACACTATCAATAAAGTCAGTCGTCACCGGGAGACTTAACAAGAACTGTTAGATGACCAAAAGAAGACTGTTAGACCTGTAACCTGGTAAAAGAAGAAGGACAAAGGCCCCGGACAGCGACAAGAATCACGGCCTCTAAAACATGACAACAGCTGGATTGCCTTATTATGAAGACATCAAAAGGTAGGCGCGCCTTTTTTGTATGTTTGTGGCATGGGACAATGTTGATTTGTGAGCTGAAATGTTGCTGATGTTCTAAATGATCTTGGTGAGGGTGAATGTGATGCTTGCTGCCAGTGCGCATGTGCAGGCCCTGTGTGCGTGATTGCCTAGCTGCATAGTCCACCTTTTGTTTAGACTTTACAAATGTCGCGAGACAGACGTGTTCATGCAAGCTTGTGCGCCTGTGTTTGCGCATCAGAGGAGTTGGTAGCACATTCACTTGAGCACCCTGTCACTCAAACGATGAGCGCACAACATCCAGGACGCTGAAATAAAAGCAGGAGACTGTGGGGTCAGTCGGGGTCATGAGTAAGGAGGAGGAGTTTACAGGTTATAAAAGGTCCCTCTGAACATTTGTCAGGTGTGTTTACACTTCAAACGTTGGGGGTTCTTCTGATAAATTGGCGATGCAGAGCAAGAGTAGTGTGTTTTCCATGTGACAGATTCAGATTTCAACATTAGGTGAAAGTTTACTGAAGAATCCAGACTGTACGATACAGCAACATAAAGATCAGAACATCTGTATGCAGTGACTCTGTTTGTGGAACAAGGTGTGACATGTATACAAATCTTTCTCCTTTGCAATTTCATACAAAGTCCGATAGAGAAAATCAGACACTGAATGACTCCCATGTTTGTCTGTGTCTCTCAGTCATCCAGGTCGAGTCTGACCCAAAGGCAGCTGGACTTGTTGAAGATGTTGAAGACGTTTCGCCTCTCCTGGATTTCTAGCTCCGTCCAGCAGATAGTTTTGAAGGAGGAGAGGTGAAACGTCTTCAACATCTTCAACATGTCCAGCTGCCTTTGGGTCAAGCTTCGACTCCCATGTGTCCTCGGTCATTACGGTCAGCTGGCAGCTCATTGACCGATTTATCAGACACCACTAACATCCCATGTGTATGAATATACATGAGCCATGTTGATGACTGAATGGATCGTTTAGTTTGTGACGGCTCAGATGATGAAAGAAAGTTGTGCAGAGTTTGACAGTTTCACTGAGAATCAACGGATCAGTTTTGATCAGCAGGGTCGAGGTCGTTATTGTGCACATTTGTAGATTGTTGATCTCAAACGTTTACACTCATGAAACGACACGAGCGAGTAACTGATCCCTTTATTCATTCAGTACTTGTCTAATTTTGTATAGCTTGGTATATACTGTATATTTAGTTCCCATTGTCCTGTTGTTCTCGCTGCACTGTGATCACTCTACCCACTCAGTATTTGCTGCTCTGTGTTTTATTTTAGTCTTCGTGCTATGCACTTTTGAATTTCCACCCCAAATAAAGTTTTTTTTATTGAATTCTTGAGAAAAACCAAACTAACTGACAAACAGAGATTTTAACTTCATGTTTTATGAAAAGTGATTCTCATTTGAGAGTTTAGCCAGAGTCAATGAGAC